AATATAGTTCCAGCTTCCCATTTCCAGCGTGTGGTTCCCTTTCCTTTGCGAAGATGATGGCCATCTTCCAAAAAACCCTTCTGAAGGCAGTCCCTGCTTTTCTGTGACACTCGGGACTGGCGACCAGTTCTGTCTCTGATGACTGGTTTGTGGCTGCTTAAGACAATCTTGTCTCTCCCCCTCCCTGCACCCCCTCCCATTTTAAAGAGGCTTTGAAAACCTGTCTCATATTTGGCCTGCAGGAAATGGCTGCAACCTGCTGTATCCACTTCTTCTCCTTTTTAAAAAAGAAATTAGGAAAAACAAAGTTTTGAAAGCTGTACTTTCTGGGATTATAGATACCAGAATGTAAAAGCCTGCATGGCCCTCTGGGGAGGTGTAGCAAAACAAACAACACAGGCACACATACTCGCCCCAGAAATATTTCCCAACCTCAGGCTTTGCCGAGTTTAAGAAAGGAAGAGAAGCCAAAGAGCATTTGAAAAGTTTGTGGTTGTTTCCAAGGACGAGCATTGATGCTCCAAAGTTCACTTTGTCGGTCCAGAGAGGGGGTGAAGAGGGCCAGGTGGTTTGCCCTTAATTTTTGGGTCATGTCAGAGAACAAGAAAGCGTTGGCTTCTTCTTTCTGGAAGAAAAGGTGGAAATGTCGGTGGGAATTCTGAGATCGTTCTCGCGCGAGCCGGGCTTGGCCAGTTGAACACCACTCCGTCCGAAAGTGTGCCAGCTCAAACAGGTGAGTTAACGCCAATTGATCTTCTTCAGGTGACTCCCCAGCTCTCAAAGGGGAGCCGGCGTCCATTTGAACAGAAAGCAACAGGTGCTCAGGGGTCTGTGCAAGATGTTCAGTCATGGCCTTTGAACGAGGGACAACACTCTAATCCCAGAGGCCCACATCGCAGATCAAGCTAACTCGTGGGAAACACACATGTTCGGGAAGAGGGCCAATGGTCCGAACTGATCTACGTTAGTTTCTCAAGCCTTGATGAAGTGGTTTGGATGGATTCCAGACTGATGAGTAAGTGCCAGCTCAATGCCATATCATTTTTCTTGGCATCTGTTTTCCGTCACTGGAAAGTGATGGATGGAAGGCAGGCAGCTGCGTGACACAATGGTTAGAATCGAAAGCTGTCGAGACAGAACAAGAGTGAAACGTGGAAAGGAGACACTCTCTGTTCCTTGACCGGAGTCAGATTATTTGGAGTGAAAGCCATGAACCTCTTTCTCTCCTGCATTTCTGTGGCTTTGACCTGAGGGGGTTGGCTTATTCCTCCACAGCAGTGGCTCTCACTCAGCCTTTACTTCACTAGATGTTCTGGACCCCCCTCCCTGCAAGGAGCGAAACCTCCTCCTCAATATGACTGGATCGAACACAAACCCTCCCCAGCACCTGGGGGTGGGGGGACTGTCCCCATTCAGTTGCCCAATGAAAGATGGACCTCACGAGGCACTTATGGGCTAGCCACTTTTCCTCAGCCTCATCTGGTCAGTGGTCTAGGTCTTTGGCTTCAGAGCCAGAGGTTGAGGGTTCGATTCCTCACGGTGCATCTCCAGAGAAAACAGCCATCCTGGGAAGCCTTGGGCAAGCTGCACAGTCCAAGAAGGGAATGGGAAACCATTTATCAGGGTTCTGTACCTAGAAACCCCCCCAAAATGGTGGCCATTCATCAAATTAACCTGACCCCCATGTGATTATTAGTTGGCTGGACAGCTCAGTGGTTTAGGTCTCTGGCTACAGAGCCAGAGGTTGGGAGTTTAAATCCCTCCCACTGGACCTGCAAGGAGAAGAGCCAGCCTGGGTGGCCACCGCCAGGGCAGCCAAAGAAAAAAAGGGAATGGGAATGACTTCTGAGTCTTCTCTGGCTAGAAAACCTTGGGGAAAAAGGGGGGGCCACCATGAGTCAGAACTGACTTGAATGCCTATCATTGTTATTAATCAGTCTCATGGAGCTGTTGTGAGGATAAATGGCTGGCGGATCCTATAAGCCACCTTGAAGTGCGATCCCGTAATCAATGCTGCTGTGAGTTGGAAAGGATTGACCCTGGAATTGTGTCTTGGTCGGACGGCCCGTTAATGATTATAGTGGACCCTCGACTTACAGACAGCTCGACTTACAGACTTTTCGAGTTACAGACTTCTCTTGCTGCAAAATTTAGATTCGACTTGCAGCCGGAGAATCGACTTACAGACCAGAAAAAAAACACAAAATGGAACAAAAATAGAATAAAAATTGTCGGTTATGGGATTAATCAGTTTTCAGTGCATTGTTCCAATACGGATTAATTCTGTCCGTAGAGGGTCCACTGTACAGGAATGTTCCTCCATTCTTGCTGCAGACCTCACGGGCAGATTGTTCTCTGTTCCAGTCATCCATCCTCAGGTTCCATCATCTCTCTGACAAGGTGTAGGATAATAAAAATAAATGATGGGATGAGTTACAAAGGGGCAACATGAAGTATCAGCAGAATGTGAAAAAAGCCCCGTACTCCTTCTCATGCAATGAAGCGTGATTCCCCCTTCCTTTTGGGATTACAGCCGCCTTGGTCCAACATGCTTTGGCTTGCCTTGAAACCAGGCTATACCCAGAGCAAGGATGATTTTTTAAAAAAATATAGGATAGGACAGGGTAAAAGATCTGGAATGGGCCCACCAGCCTCGTGTCCGTGGCGACACATCCAAACTTGTAGCTTTGGGATATGTAGACACACACACACACCCCGGCCTCATCCATCCCCAAATAAAAGCCACACAGTTTGCCCTGTGCCCCTTTGGTGACACCTCGACCTGATGATCCTTTTCTGAATCCATGTTTGCGGAACTTGGGTTCTCTATGAAAACCTCATTCCTGTAAGGGAGGGAATAGAAACAGCAAGGCCAGCTCCTTGAGTGGAAGGGGCAGGCAGGGAAGAACACCAGCAGAAGTCCCCAGAGCTGAGCATTCAGTTCCATTTTCATTTCTCTCTCTCCCTCCCTCCCAAGGGGAGAGGAAGTCATCTCCGCCAAATTCCCAAGGCAGCCACTAGGAAGGGAGTGAGGGAGAGACTCTTAAAAGGGCAATGGACACAATTCTCTTTGATTCTTTCCTGGGGCAATTCAAGGCACCTCTCTGCGCTTTCCATCCTTTCTCTCTGCTCCTACCCTTCATCTTCTCTAGACCTGAAAGGAAGGGTGCTTTAGCCAAAGACTTCACAGCAGGAAAAGCAAGGAAAGTTCATTTCTAGGGTGCGGGAAGGGCCTTCCCTCCTTTATCCCCCATTAGTTTTTTCTCGCTCTCTTCCCAGTTCAAATCGCAATGTCTGATTGCTGGATTTTGTGCAAGGGATGTGTGGGAAGGCTGCCCTGCTCAGATAATACCACTTTGCTCTGTCAGGTGGTTGCCCAGGAAATGCTAAATATCCTGGGCAAAAAGATGTGGTGCCTTAGAGATTATTCTATTTTGATGTGAGCTTTTCTGGATCATGTCCACTTCTTTGAAGCCATGAGGGGAAAAAATGAAATTTTCCCTCTACTGACACATAAGGTTACTCTGCTGTGTTCGTTTACTTTTATTCCTATATTTTCTTTTGCCACCACCCTACATGTGTTTCTGACTGATCCTACCCTTCCCCCCATTCTTTTGCTCTTGCCTAATTATTGGCTTTATGTCCTCTGAGAGAATAGTTACCATAGAATTTAATGCCAAATTCCAAGTGAGTTTCTATTGGGGAAGTGGGGATTTGAACCCTGCTCTCCAGTGTCCCTGTCATTCTCTCCACTCCACCATCCTGGACAATGTTTCCCTCTTAGATAACAAGGAGTGCTCCACTCCATGGGCCACCCACCTCACCCACCTCCGCTTCCTTTTCCTTCCATCTCTGGAACCACAGGATGGGACCCCCAGTTGATCCCTCGCCCCTTCCTTTGATGGTTGTTTAAGATGACCGTGTCGGCAGGAGGGGGGGTGCTAAGTGAGCACAAGGTGTTCTTTTTAGGTCAGACTTGCTGGAAGAGATTCATGCTATGCTCTGCTGGGCTTGTAGGACTCAGCCCAGCGTAAAAAGGGGTAGATAAAGGCCTGGAAACTCTCGGACCACCTGCCCACTGGATCCTTTAGGGGACCGTGTGCATGACACGAGTCTCCCCTGTGTTCAGGCACTGGTGAGGCCTCATCTTGAGGACCGTGCCCACTTCTGGACACGGCACTTCAAAAAGGATGCTGACAAACTGGAATCAAATTCAGAGGAAGGCAACAGGGATGGTTAAGGGACCAGAAACCAAGCCATACAAGGAAACACTGAAAAAACTGGGCCATCTCTCCCTTTCTCTCTTCAGCTAGCTTGCTTCTCTCCTCCCTGATCTTTCCCCTCCACTTTCTCACCTCTTTCTCTCCCCAGCAGGAGGGTTTCTCCAGTCTTACTTCTCTCCGACTCCTATACTGCCTCTCATGAGGTATCATCAAGTTCTCCCACTGTTTGGCCCACGGTTTCTCCATTCATAGCCACTCCTAGCCTTGTAGGAATATCCTCTCCTTCTTTCCCCTTCTATCACTCCAGCTTCTGCTGTCTCCCTTCTTCACTGTTCCCCAAGATATATTTCTCTTTCCTCCTGGTTTTTTCCCTTTTCTCCTGCACCTCCGTGGCTCCTAAGGATCCTTTACTCGGTGGATCCTTCCTTTCCTCTGATGGACCTTCTGCTTCCCTCACTGGAAGTTCCACCTTGGACACCCCAGGCTCTTTACTTCCAGACTCTCCCATCCCTTCATTGGTCTCACCCTTTGATTCTTCATCCGGAACTATCTCTATCCTCCTGGATTTCTCTGTGACCCTTCTCATCTCCCTATCTCCCCATTCTCCCCATGGAAGTGTCACTTCTCTGACGGAGTCATATATTCTGTCTCTGGGGCTCCCTGGGCTTCGCCCTTCTCTTCTCAGGAAAGGACGGCACTCCAGTCAGGATGGGTTCAGCCCGTCTTTCTCCGTCAGATAGACAGCCAGTGACAAGGTGTTTGAAGCTCATGTGGGTGGCAATTCCAAAACTTGTTTATTCTCTACAAGTTCATTTATTTACATCTTTTCTAGATTCCATACTTAAATATACTACATCCAAAAAAATACGCAGTCTTACAGGCGTGAGGAAAAAACTGTTGGTAAAGATCTTCAAACACAAACCTCATGCAGTTATGCAAAAACTGCAGACTTACTTAAAATACATTCTTGCACCTTGTAAAAAGATGCAGGAATTTAAATTCAGATAATACGGAAAATTTAAGGCTTGAATATAAAATACAAACACATTAAAACACTGGACCTCATAATTTAGATAGAGAATACATCTTTAGATGTATTTGAACTTCCTAAGAATACAATGATAAAAAGCAAAAACCCTTATCATTTTTAATGAAAGACATGCAAAAGTATTTAAACTTAAAAAATTAATACATACACAGTAGAAGAGCACTATTTGGCTCTTAAATTTTGTTCTAATCCAACCGTGTGTAAAATCCATTGCTGGCTGTCACTCCCTTAAGTTTATCTTTCCGCTCTTCCAAGGACTTTCACCCGGCATCAGTTCCATCAGTTGTACTCCATGAAACCAAAACTCTATGGTTCTCTGTTCCTTTCTCATAACACCCCCAATATTTATATCCCTTAGCTCTGCATCAGTCAGCAAAATCAAATCTTCCCAAGACTTGGGTTTCCCAGCCTCTGATAAGCTCAGGAGTTAAGGATAAAAGGATTTGGTCATCTCCGACCCAGTGCAGTCTACTCTCAATACAAAATATATATTCTGTATTATTTTTGAAGAACTAGGCGTTTCTATGCTATTGTATGGAGAGTATACTGTACTGGGTCTGAGTTCATATATATAGCTTGATAAAAAATAGAGAACAAAAATTCATTGGCACCCTCTTTAAATCTCAATTACTGTTATTATTTCTGAGGGTAAACACATCACAGCTTCGCTCCCTTCACTACTTGTTTTTCTTCCATCAGTTAGCCTCAGAACATCTATCCTTTTATTTTACACTAATTTCGTAAAACCTTCTATTGCAAAATATATATGCTTATTCTCATTTTTAGCACAAAGTTCAACATATATTTTGTGATATATCTCTGTTAAATAACAATTGAAGTAAACCACTTAACAAGAGGCACTTCAAAATACATTCCATTTTTTCTCTTATCTTTCTGTTTTGCACTACCGAAACATTCTGTTGTTTCTTCTGTCCCAGGGAAAACAGCACAAAACTGTATGAGCTCCTTATGCCTTCTTAAGAGCTCTGAAAAAAACTCAATCCACATTCCATGCATTTCTATGGCTTATCCCCAGTATGGGTCCTTTGATGTGACCTAAGGGCACCACTCCTACTAAAGCTCTTTCCACATTCCATGCATTTATGTGGTTTCTCCCCAGTGTGGGTCCTTTGATGTAACCTAAGGGAATAACTGCGAATAAAGCTCTTTCCACATTGCATGCATTTATGTGGTTTCTCCCCAGTGTGAGTCCTTTGATGTAAACCAAGGATGCCGTTCGTAGTAAAGCTCTTTCCACATTCCAGGCATTTATGTGTTTTCGCCCCAGTGTGAGTCCTTTGATGTAAACCAAGGATGCCGTTCGTAGTAAAGCTCTTTCCACATTCCAGGCATTTATGTGTTTTCGCCCCAGTGTGAGTCCTTTGATGTAAACCAAGGATGCCGTTCGTAGTAAAGCTCTTTCCACATTCCAGGCATTTATGTGTTTTCGCCCCAGTGTGAGTCCTTTGATGTAACCCAAGGATACCGTTCGTAGTAAAGCTCTTTCCACACTCTATGCATTTATACGGTTTCTCCCCTGTGTGTGTCCTTTGATGTAACTTAAGGGCAGCACTTGTACTAAAGCTTTTTCGACATTCTATGCATTTATACGGTTTCTCCCCTGTGTGAGTCCTTTGATGTAACCTCAAGTTTCCACCCTGACTAAAGCTTTTGCCACATTCCAGGCATTTATGTGGTTTCTCCCCAGTGTGAGTCCTTTGATGTAACCTCAAGTTTCCACCCTGACTAAAGCTTTTGCCACATTCCAGGCATTTATGTGGTTTCTCCCCAGTGTGAGTCCTTTGATGTAACCTCAAGTTTCCACCCTGACTAAAGCTTTTGCCACATTCCAGGCATTTATGTGGTTTCTCCCCAGTGTGAGTCCTTTGATGTAACCTCAAGTTTCCACCCTGACTAAAGCTTTTGCCACATTCCAGGCATTTATGTGGTTTCTCCCCAGTGTGAGTCCTTTGATGTAACCTCAAGTTTCCACCCTGACTAAAGCTTTTGCCACATTCCAGGCATTTATGTGGTTTCTCCCCAGTGTGAGTCCTTTGATGTAACCTCAAGTTTCCACCCTGACTAAAGCTTTTGCCACATTCCAGGCATTTATGTGGTTTCTCGCCAGTGTGAGTACTTTGATGTAATTTCAGGTGACCACTCTGACTAAAGCTCTTTCCACATTC